CACTTGATCTGGATAATTGTCATTTGATAGAAATGGACTTGGTCTTGATTTAAGGATGTTTAGATATTTGTGCTATTAGACATAGCGTGAGATATTTATAGTAAGACTGTCATGTTTGGAAGTGATGTCCGCTCATGTAGACTGCAGTGGTGCACTGTATCTCACGCTCTGATGTGTGACTCAGTCTCTTCCTCTGCTACTCTGTCATTTAGATGCAATCTGAGTCACTGCACATTGTTATCAGCTATTTCCAGCTTTAAGTGTTATGTGCACATGTTCAGTCAACACGTTTAGCATTTTAATAACACCGGCGGACGCTCACACTCCATCACAAGAGCTCTAGGAGGCTGTTTGTGTGTGAATGAGCAGAAAACACACTCGCTCGCTTTGGGGAAATTGGTATTAATTACATAACTCATGCTGCCGTATGTGACCTTCAGGCCAGACACACTACATGCTAAGTATGCAAACATTTGCACTCATTTGGAAGAGGCTCTTATTCACGTTTTATTGACTGTGCATTCAAGGTTTACATTTTATGAGTACGTGTTTTCACTGGGAAATGAAGCTCATGGAAAGCAACCATGCAAATGAGTCCATTTCTAATAGAGAAACAAAAAACAATACTGTATATATAAAAATCAAACATTATTAAATCATTATGAATCAAGATTTGATATAGGCTATTCCATCAACATTTTTACTGTGCATACATATATATATATATATATATATATGCACAGTAAAAATTATATATTTTTTCAAGGTAAATAAATATTTTTGAAGTACATTTTCCAAGAAAATACAGTTTCAGTCTTTGTTTGCCAAAATTTCATGTTTAATTTTTACTAGCAGTTTCTGAGTGAAATATGTGTTTAAATGCTACTTTTACTGTGTATTTAGGTTGCATAGATAAATGTAATAATTTAATAATTTTATATATTATTAAATATAATAGTATTAATTTAATACATTATAATTAAAATAATATAAATAAATATAAATTAATTAATTATTTAATTACTTTAATAATGTAATAAACATAATTAATTAATTTGAACTCCGTGAAAACAGGGTGTGCAAAATATAAGTGTGAGATTATAAAATGAATTCTCTTAATGGAGAAAATCTGATAGAATTTTCGAATGCATTAGAGTTATAGAATAGTTAATGTACTTGTGAGGAATGAATCTGAGGTGCTGCTTGTGTCTAAGATGTCTTTATTTGTGCTGAATCTTGTGTGGGTTTCTGCTTCTGATTAGCACAAAGCTGCTTCTGATTTATTATTTATTAGATTTCACGGCAGTTACAGTAATGTTAGGATTCGCAGGTCATTGAAGGGTCTGGAGGTCACAGAGGAGCTGGGAATATTGCCGGTTTTCCTCCATTAAACGAGGATGAGCTACTGAAGTAAATGAGAAATAACCTTCATTACCACACCTTTATATGAATCTCATGAATGCTCTTACAGGTTTTGATGGCTTGTGCTGGAAATAAATTCAGTTCAGTACAGTCTGTTTATGGAGATGAGCTGTGCATGAGCAGAGAAAGCAAAAACACACCTTTATGAAATAAAAATATATGGGAATATACTAGAAAATGTAATACAATTTATGAAATAATACATTTAATTTTCAGTATACAGTAAAATGGACCACATAAAAAAAATAGTATTATAATAAATAAATATATTACATTTACAATAAAGTTAAAAAATAAAAAGAAATGCATATTAAAATAATAAATAATATAATCAATATATATATAGTTGATTAATATCTCTCTCATGAGTTAATGCATGGGTTTACATTCAATTTATGGGTTGCACATTTATTATGGAAATATGTCATGGTACTGTATATAAGAAAAATGTGTTTACTAAAATAAGTACTATATGTCAGTTCATTCATTAATTAATTCATTAAATTATTTATTTATTCACTCATTCATTCAATCATTTATTTATTCACTCATTCATTAAATAATTAATTCATTCATGTATGTATGTATGCATGTATTAATTTTTTTTATTTTTTTACATTGACATTTATTTATTACTTACCATACAAATATCATAATACGATATATAATTTATAATTTTGTATATTATTTAATATATATTTTTTCAGTATGTATGTACTTTTCAATTGATTGTATTATATTGAAAACATTTTATATTCTGTATATTTTCTATTTGCATTAAATAATTTAATATATTGTGAATATCTAAGGAAATCTATTTTCCTTGCGTCAGAGTAAATCCAGTGAAACTAATGATAGCTGATCTGTAAGTGAGGGCAGTGAAGTTCTTACCTGCACAGTGTGAGTCTGAGCGTTTCTGTGTCTGACTGATATCTGTGATGGTGTGTGTGTTGTTCTCTGGATGGCTCAGAACGAGGCTCGAGCGTGTACACGGATCGTCCAGTGTGTGGAGCGGATCGCAGACCTCGCGCTCAACGCAAACACCACCGGCATCTCAAAGGTGATCTTATAACACATTTCATTAGGGAGGAAAACTTATTTTGTTTCTAAATACTTTTGATAACTTTTTATTTTATTTTATTTCTCAAATAAAATCAAAAGTTGTGCATGCATGTTGTCAGAAGGTTGTTTACGAATCTATTTTTGTCTCTGGTGTTTTATAAGGATATGTTTTTTTTGTTTATTATATCATAACATACCAGGACATATACAACTTTGCTTGGCAATGAATTTTACACAGGTTAGAGAAAATAAATAAATAAAAAAACAAGAACAAACATAGTACAAACACAAAACGCACAGTGCAAAGAGCCTTTCATGTATATGAGGGGAAACAAAGTTGTACGTAAGATGTAATTATTATAACCTGTATACCGAATTCTTATGGAATTGACTGATTTGAAAAAGAAAAAAAAATTGTCAAAAGATGCACTTTAAAAGAGTCACGTAGATGCAGGATATTTTATATGCAAAACCAATATTGTACATGGAATGCAAAAAAAAAAGGAAAGAAATTGTAAAAATGTAAATTGCAGTGTAATTTTAGTATCATTGTGAGACTATTATAATTTTTATTAATATTTTGAATCAGTTAGTATTTTTATTTTTAAGTTTAGTTAAAGTGTTCGAAATTTTGTTGTCTTTTTTTTTTGTGTAATTTTTAGGTTTTGTAATTTTTTGTAGGCTTTTTTATGTCTATATATTTTATTAGTACTTTTTATTTCAGTTTTAGTTATTTTAGTACATTAGGTTGAACTAAAAAAAAAAGAAAAAAAAGAAATGTTGCTCTACATGAAAATAAAAGTTTTTTTATTTTTATTTTATTATTTTAAGTAACACTTTTTGAACGGTTTTTAAATGTAGTTTTAATTAGCTCTATAATTGGCATGCATTTCTCTTGAGATTCTGCTGGTTAAAGGGTTAGTGTGCTGTTGATTTATTCCCTGAATCTTGCGTTTGTGAATCTGTGGTCTATTCCTGTAGATCAGTACATGGTGGCTTTTTTGCGTCTAACCGAGTAAATCTTGACGTAATGACAGACGTGTGGTTATTCTGATAATGTAGGTTACAGACTGGGATTGTTAATGGAGTCTTTGTTTTCCTAATCAGTCCTTGACTCACTCAGCAGAACCTCGAACAATGAATGCTGTTTATTTCCCAGCGAGTGATTAGTGTGGCGTGTGTGTGTTTGTGGCAGGTTTCGGTGAACATCGCTCTGGAGGCGCTGCTGCTTCGGCCGGACTCTCTCATGGGTTTATTGTGTACGGTGGAGCAGCGTCTGCCTCTGCTGCCCCCGGTGGCCGACGCTCCACAGCACAACACCCTCCTCAACTTCAGATGCCACACGCTTAACGTCTCCGGGTCACCTGTGGGTCAGCTCAGCCAGGTGAGGCTCGTCACTAACCGGCCCAGGAGTCCAAAAACCATTCAAACACATATTCTCTGCTTCTTACTTGGATTAAAAGAATCGGTGATTCATAAATGCTACATTTAAATGTGGTAGGTTTACCTTTGTATTCTCCGTTTTAATGAGTAAACATTTTATTAAAATGTTGAACTTTTACAATAACTATAAATGTTTTAAATTATAAAAATTAATTTGAAATTTAATATTTTTTATAAAGTAGAATATTTTTGTAATTCTAAAATATTTGATATTTTAATGTTTTTATATATTTTATAATTTTAAATATTGTATTAAATGCTGTCATTTTACAGTTGCATAATTATATTTAAAATTATACATATTTTAAATATGATATAACTAACTCATTTTATAATTTAAAAATAAAATATTTGTTATAATTCTAATATATTTTGCTTAACTATAAAATATTTGATATTTTTATAGAGATTTTTATTAGATTTGATCATTTTAAATATTTTGGTGTTGCAGTTTTACAGTTGTATAATTATAAATGTTTTAAATATTTTACAATTTCAGAACATTTAATAATAAAAAAGAAAATATATAATATAATTCTGAAATATTTTATTTAAATGCTATTTAACAATTGCATAATTATAAATGTTAATTTAAAAAAAATTATCATTTTAAAACATTTTATCATTTAAAAATAAAATACATTTGTATAATTCTAAAATATTAGAATTTTTTATGTATTTGTATATTTTATCATTTTAAATATTTTGTTTAAATGTTGTAATTTTACAGTTTTTTTTAGTTATAAATGTTTTACATTTATAAATATTAATATTAAATATTTTACATTTTATCCACAGGGCTATATAAGCAGTTATTATGTCTTGCATCTTTCTCTCTCACACAGTTTTTATTTGTGTTAATGAGCTTCCTAACGAAGCAAAAGTTGTTTTCTAGAAGCCAGTATCCTTCAGCTTTAGTCACAGTCATTAATCATGATTTACTACTATACTGTCAGTCAGAAGCAGGCAGTGTTTATAGCAGAGGGGGCGGGGCATTCTTATTCAAGAGAGCGTTTGATTGGACGAAGGTTTGTATATGAGAGCGAGATCATGAGGCATCAGTATTTTTCATCTGTTTTCACATTTAATAGATAGAAACAGACAGGATTTCTGTATTTTTCATAGCTTTCTTTTGACACAAAAAGCTAAAACAGGAGTGTGTGCAGTCCAGAATCTGACTGAGCATATGTAGAACAGAATAGAACAGAAATGTATTCAATTTAAATCTATTTTATGTTAGCTAGTCGCCAACGTGAGTATGTAATAAATTTTTTCATTTAATTTTAAGTACTTTATTTCTAGAGCAAGTGTCACAAAGTGCTTTACATAAGAGAACAATTAAATAACTTAAATAAATTAAATAATTTATACAGCAAAAAATATATTGATATATATATATATATGGTTAATATGTTATTGTATTATATTAATATATGATACAGTATCATTTAAATCTAATACCTAAAGTATTTCTAGATTGTAAATGTATTTTTGCCCCATTTCATTTAAAGTACTAAAATAACTTAAATGAAGTACACTAAAACGAATAAATAAAAATCAATAGATACTATATTGACATTTAAAAAATAAAAAAAACTTATAACAAACGCATAAAAACAATTAAAGTCTAAACAGAAAGAAAAAATAATATCTAATTCAAAGTATTATCAAAAACGATCAGTGATACAAAAATAACTCTTTGTTGCAACATTTGATTGAAAAGCTGATAATTAATTAAATCATAAGAATGAATAGAATAGAATAGAATAGAATAGAATATTTTCTCATTGTAGACGTTTGTTGCAGGTTTGTTATTGTAAACTAAAACTAAGAAGAAGAAAAAATGTCATTAATGAAAATTAAATAAATATTAAATGAAATCAAATAAAATATAAAAACTTACATTTAATTTAAATAAATGCCATATATTATTATATTAAATAAAAAAAAAATAAAAAAAATTTATTCAACATGTAAACACTTACTAAAAAAGATGAACTACTGTATTTGTTTACGTGATTATTGACCAACATCAGAGAGAACAACATATTCACTGAACATCTCCGGAGAACTTGAAGAGCATATTTTAGAGGCGTTCGACTGACATCATTTTGGGAATCACTCAATTGACATGAAATATGATATGCAAATAAAAATCATGCAGTGTTTTTCAGAGGCACAGAAACTACCCATAAAAATGAACAGCAGAAGCTGCATCTCTGAACGTGGTCGTAGAAAATAAATCCCAACCGTTCACTCCATTTATCCTTTTACTAAAAGCATCTTTGTGTGAACATTGGAACGAATGAATCTAAGTTTGTGGTAGCAGGGTTGTCCGATTCTTTGCCAGAGATGGTAGTTCTTGCTCTCGTTTGTGTGTGAGACTTGTGTTCAGTAAAGACTGTAATGCAGGACTCTTGAGCTGATCGCGGAACATCGCTTTAATGAGGAGCACGAGTGAAGCGGAGTATAAATCAGGCAGCGGCTGATCTCGTGTCTGTCAGTCTCCAGGTCTGCCCTGATGCACACTAACGAGTGAACGAGCCGTTGACTTCTGTTTGAGATGGATTTGGATCCGGACTTCATTTGCCTGCCGTGTGTCAGTCTCCTCTGGGAGATTTAGATAATATCATAATCTGAACACATCACTCACACAGATTCAGATATCACACAGTCCATTCTGTCATCTTTCTGTCCTCACAGAAACAGTTCCATATATATGTATATTATTAGCTCTATGTTTTAAAGACATTTGAAAGTATGTTGTTATATATTGTTAATGTAAATTTATATATATATATATATATATATATATGAATTTACATTAACAATATATTTTCAAATGTGTTTAAAATATATATTGCTTAAACCTTTACATTTTAAAGTATATTATGGGGCAAAAAATAATGAAAAAATATAGATATTTTTTTAATTTACAAAATATATTTTTAAAACATATATTAAGTATATCTATTATGTATCTGAGTCTGAACTCTGAGCTTCTCTGTAATCATCACACCGCCCTGCGTCATGTCTGAGGAATCAATCCCAACACTTATTTCTTACTCATTTTTTGATCTGCTGATTCCATAAACACTGTCTGTTTTGCTCTTTCACGTCACACTTTCTCACTTAATAATATGATGCGTTTCATAGCATTTTTGCATTCATTGACTGTTTGTGTGGTGAATTAGTCTTGAATTCTCCCTTAATCAGCAGAAAAACACCACAAACACATGATTCTGTCTGAATCTGAGCCACATTACAACTATTTGATCCATTCTCAGCACTTTTTGACATGCACAATATTTTGTAAGGTTATTTGACATTAAATATTTGAGATTAAGCTGTGAATGGATTTTTCTACTCTTTTAGAGTGACTTTTTATCATAACCGACATTTGACTCCTTTTGTTATTTTAATAAGTGCATTCAAGCATGTCTTCTATATACATTCTTGTTTTGTGAAAAAACGTTGTGATGGAAAGTTTTTATTGATATTTTTGAATTCAGCGTCAACAAATCAGATAATATTAGGCCTTTTTTGCAAATCAGCATAATTGTTTTCCAAGATGCAGCTCTGCGTCATCCGTAATTTTGACCGGGTCTCGGTCTGTTGGTTTCATTTTCACTGATAATTATACAGCCGAACGCCCGTCCATTTGTGTATGGAAATGTGCTATAGTCTTCATATTGCTGATATTGTCATTTCCATATTCAGAGAAGTTTGACCTGAGTAGTTCAGGCTTTGGTTTGCTGTGTCTGTGAGCGTTTGCTTCAGTGTGTTTCTGTGATCTGCAGCTCTGCCGTCGCTGTCAGTGCTGCAGGAGTGATTCCTGTGTTTCTGGATGTTGTTAAACCATCATTTGACACGTAGCATTTTTCGTTGTCGAGAGGTAGCATAAACCCACAGAACACCGTCATTAGAGACACTCTTATATATGTGTTTAATGTATTTCAGATAGGAATATTAAAGTTTAGCATTAATCCAGTACACTGTAAAAAAAATTATGTGATCATGTTTTTTTCAGTAACACTATACAATACACACGATACAAGTCACATTGTTTTTTTTATTCAATTATGTTTTTATTGCATTTTGTCAAAAAATCCAAAAGAACAACACAAAATACAAAACAATTTACCACATATACAATAAAGTTTAAATAAATAAAGGGATAACAATAAAAAATAGATATATAAAATAATAATAATAATAATAAACAAATATACAAAAATAAAAATAAATAAATGAAAAATAAATATTTAATATATGAGTACACTCACATACATAGATAAATACAGACAGTATATAAACATAATATTTAAATAAATAAAATAATACTAATACTAATAAATTAACAAGAAAATTACATAAATTACAAAAATAGATTATTCACATCAGGGATTGGTTCACAGTCATTATTTAACATGTCACTAAATATTTTACATTTTGTACTTTAGTTTGTTAACTAATTAAGTTAACTAATGTTAAAGACAGTTGCCGGCCCCCATTGACTTCCATATTATGAAAAATATATATAATAATAATAATAATAATAATAATAATATGGAAGTCAGTGGGGACCAGAAAGAGTTTGGTTACCCACATTATTCAAAACATATTCTTTAGAAAATCATACAGGTTTGGAACAACATGAGGGTGGGTAAATGATGACAGAATTTTCATTTTTGGGTGAACTATCCCTTTAAGAGAGAGAAGCAATCCAGAATGAAGTATTAAATGGTTCTTATTTGTCATTTTCTGTCCAATGAATCCCTCTCTCTCATTCTAACTTGATCAAATCTTATCAATCTAATACAATAAATACAGTTATGAAACACACACACACACACACTCTCTCTCTCTCTCACACAC